TTTGAAGACAATAAACGACTATCTTTACTTTTGTATGCATAAGATTGGTTTTTTAATTAAAGATATTTCTTATTTTTTGACAAAATCTTTATTTATAGAATAAATTGATGCTCATGAATCTGATAAGGCTAAGACTTTGTAATTTTTTGGTCTTAAAAAAGTTTCTACTATATAATAAGATTACAGATCTAAAAAAAGGAGAGAATTTTTAATAGATGTTGCATAAGATTTTAGCCACATGATTCCTGTTGTAATTAGAGAAATTAATTTTTCAATATATTGTCCTCTTTGATAACCATGTTCTTTATTTTGTAGTTATATTATTTCTTTGGATAATATTAAGTAGTGTACTTAAGTTCTTTACAATATAAGTACAATCTTTCTTGGCAACATCAAGTCTTTTCTTATTCAATAAAAAATTTGAAATATACCATATCAATTTACATAGGTTCTAGTTTTGATGAATAAATTTTTTGAACTTTGAAGTTTTTTTCATAACTTAACTTGTACCTCTTCAACTAAATCATTGTATTTAAAGTCTTTTAAAAAATCAATTATCACATATAATGGCTTAAGCAATAAACTATTCCAATGAATTTGCTCTTAGCATTGTAAACAATAAGTTTTTGATGTTATTATTTAATCCATATCAAAATTGATTAATAAAAGCCTTTTCATTCCAATTTATATTGCAAGTGAGATTTTGGAATTCAATAACATATAGTGGTTCAAAAAATTGTTTCAATGTTGACATATTTTAGAAAGAATGGTGTATTATAAATAAATTGTAGTAAATAATAACACGTGTTTGTATAGCAAATAAAGTACTCTTTTACAACTACCAAATGAGCTCAAATTAAAAAGAATCCATTAAATAATTGTGGAGCTATGATCAATCTAATTTGAAAAAATATTGAAATATTTTTTTGAATATAGTATCCAATTACATATTAATACTTTGTAGGACTTCTTTTGGCCTTGATAATTGCTGCCAACCTACTAAGTATACTTTTTATTAACTTTTGGCACAAAACTACTTCAATGTTATTTCATTTTGTAAATATTCTTTCTTATAATTTTTAAAATCCCTTTGGTTTTATCTTCTAAGTATTTAGTTGGCATTTGAGGTGCTCCCAAAGATGTTTAATGGAATTAAGATCAAGAGACTGAGGAAGCCAATCCATTACTTTAATTCCATGATAATCAAATTACTTCCATGCAAGTTTTGAGTTATGCTTAGAATCATTATCTTGCTAAAAAATCACCTCCTCTTCAAAAATGTTAGATTCTTCAAAACTAGGGAGCAGGTTTTTTTCAAGAATTTCTACAAATTACTTAGCATCCATTCTCCCCTCAACCTTACCATCCTCTCATCAACCTCTGCCATCTTTCCAATTTCATTCCATCCCATACAATCCCATATTATTATATTTTCACTTCCATGCTTAATTGTTTCTTAGATCTTCTCATCAAGTAAGGATTGGCTCTTTAGTTTTTATAGCCACTTTTTGCCATGTGATCCAAATCTATTGATTTCTATCTCATTTGACCAAATAACCTTCTTTCAATCCTCCATAGTCTATTCCTTATACTTTAGAGCAAGGATTGTTTTTGATAGCAAGTAGATAGTAGTGGCTTTTTTTTTTCACTACAGCTTTCATATTCCATTTTTTGAAAATATTTTGAATGGTTTTAATTGACATAGGATTACTAATAATATTGTTAAGATTTTTAGCAATCTCAATAGTATTTTCAGCCTTTTAAATATTGATATGGCAAATGATTGTCCTTTCATCTACTACTATGAGCTTCTTTGGTTTACTTAATTTAAAGTTCTTTTTATTAAAAGTGAACTTTTTTCTAGTCTAAAAATAGTAACTTTATTATAGCCAAGTTTAAAAGTAATTTGGCCATAAGATTTTTGAGAATGAAGAAGAGTAGAGGTGATGTTGTCTTTGAGAGAGTAGAAAATGGGTCTCATAGATGTTTAAGGAATTATCAAGGATACAAGAATCTAATAAAGAAATATATCAAGCTTAAAGACAAAGAATGAGATTGATAGTAAAAGTGGTTCCAAAGTCTCCTATTTATATTATAATAAAGGTTATAGAAGTCTATTGTACTTTCTATAGAAGTTTCTAGAAGTCTAAAGAGGCTTCTAAAATCCTATGGAACTTTCTAAAAGATTTTGGAAGTTTCTACAATTATTTAGAAGGTTCTAAAAATTTATAGAAGATTCTAGAAGGTCCTAGAATGTAATAATTTGGAATATGTTTGTGCCAAAAAAATTGTGATTAAGAATGGTGCTTTTATAGCTACTAGTAAGCATAATTGATGTCATTAGATTAGTAATAATATTTTCGTAGTAAATCTAATGATGATAGAATTCTGTAATATTAAGTAATTAATAGAATCCAAAAATTAGATACCACATTCAAAAAATTATTTCAATACTATTTAAAATTAGATTGGTCATATCTCCGTAATTAACCAATGGATTCTTTTTAATCTAAGTTCATTTGATAGTTGTAAAAGAGTACTTTATTTGCTATACAAATCACATGTCGTTATTCACTATAATTCATCTGTAATATACCATTATTTCAAAAATATGTCAACATTGATAAAGTTTTTTGAATCACTATATATGGTAGATAAATGTAATCTTTGTTGTAAAGATATAAGTTTGATCTTTGTTATCCTTTCTTAATCATTTTTTCCAAATGGGACCATGAAGACTTTCAAGAATGAATTTAAATCATAGAATAATCATCAATCTTTTTTTTATCAAAGATGCAAACTAAGAAAAAGCACTCTTAGAAAAAAGTACAGGTATGAATCCAACTTGAATAAATCCATCAAAGTATTGAGAAAGATACAACATTAGGTAGAGCTTTACTTCTTATAGAAATCTTCAAAACTTCAATCTTATTCTATTGAACTTTTCTAGAAAACTTATCTTTGTCACTTTGATACTTATAATAGCAAGACTTCTAAGATTTAGTTGTGAAGTTGATCTATTTATTTCTTTTAATTGCATAATTTCTTTGTATATATTTTGAATGTTATTATTGATCTCTTCTATAAGTGTTGAAATACTACCTTTATAATTTACCTTAGAAATATCTAAGATTTCTATCTTAAGACTGTTGAGAAGCTCATGAAGATTTGTAATGGCTGTAAATCTATTCTTGCTAAGAGTAGCATCCATGATTTTTGCTTCTACAAACAATTCAAACAAATCTATAAGTCAAATTAAAAGAAGGTAATCTATAACTTTTAATATCGAATAAAAATTCTATAAAAAAAGATAGTCTATTCTCTTTATAGAAAAAGTCATTGTTAGGAAACTAAAATGTTAGATTGAAGGTAAGTAGTCTACAACCTTCAAAATACAACAATAAAAGTGGAATAGTCCACTCACTTCTAAAAACAAGATAAGAATATGGAATTGACGCTCTTGTCAAATTATTAAGGACATGAATCTCAAAGAAAGAAAATCTCAATACATTCTTATATTACTCAAAAAGATTAAAAAAATCACTCAAAGATAGTAATATATTGAATTAAAATGGATATTTTCAAAGACAATAAGATTAGAAAGTCCTGAAACAAGACTAAAGATAAGAAAGGCCTTGACAAGAGTGAAGAAGGCCTCATTCTTGCCTAAATATTTACTATCAATTAGGAGTTACATAGGAATGTCCTATAGAACCTACAACATGTATTCAATTTGTAAGACATATGTCTTAACTTGCAAGGCAAGTTTTTTATATGTATACCACATCATTAACTTATACTACAAGCTATCCACACATGCAATACATGACTAACTTGTTGGCCAAGTTTCTAACCTATCAATCAACTATAAACATGTATAAAGTCAAATATGTATCTATAAAGCTTCTAAGAAGCTTGACCATAAATAATATCAAATCTACTTATATTTACTTTCTATCTAGCATTTTTTATCAAGATAAATATATATGTCTATAATAATAATCCACTTATTTTTCAATACAATCAATATTATAAATAAAACAATAATAGTCCTGTCAAATTGTTGGTTTGACAAGACTAAAGTGGGTGTCATTCTTTTTTATATTTGTATTACTTGCAAGACCAAAAGCTTGGAGTCATAGCTTCTCATATCTTCTTATATAAACTAATAATAACTTATTTACCAAGTCTTGTGAAGCTGCTTAAGAAGCTTCCTAAAAAGACTAGTAGTCTAAGCTATACTATATGGCTTGATTTCTAAACTATTCAAGAAGGTTCTATAATCAAAAATGCCACTTGGCATAGCTTAGCTTCTAAATTCTCTATTACATGCTTCTACTAAGTTCTTATAATATTTTAAAAAGATCTATTATAATATAAAAGTTTCTTAGAAGGTTCTATAATCTTCTTTATATGTTCTTGATAATATCCACAATTGTAGTAAAATCAAACAATTAATGATTATTCCAATCATCAATTCTTTAAAATATGGACATATTAGTTTTAATTATTAAATTCAACAATAAAAAAATATTTATTTTATTTAATTTTTCAAAAAAAATACTTGATTTTTTGAACAATAATAACAACAAATTATTAAGCAATCATATATATATATATATATATATATATATGTATATATATTATCTGTTTACTTAATTGAACTTTCCAATTGAATATTTTTCTAAATCCATTTCTTTTTCTAAAAATATATATATGTTTGTTTTACAAATTCAAAAAATTAAATCAATTAAATTACATTAAAAAAAACAAAAACAAAAACAAAAAAGCAAAAACTAACAAAGAAACGTAAATTACACATTTATCCCAAAAATCTTTTAAACAAATAGGTACAAGAAAATAGCAACGAATGTACAACTCCAGTACTGGTTAGAAATGCTATTGGCTTCGTTGTACTTAACCAATCCAAGGAGGTCATATAATAGGCTTTCCTGGGGGAATCGTTCGAGTGCATGGGACTAGGAAGACATACAAGCACATACCCAGGCTTAAAACAGACTTTAATTACGATTCTCTAAATGAGATAACGGACTAATTCAAAAGATCACAAGTAACAGTTATGTAATAATAGGGTTTACAGCAGGCCCTAGGAGACTGATAAGAAGGCCGTAACAAAACGAAGGAATGCTAATCGATTTGATGGTGACTACAACTGTACAACGTATACCCATGAAAGTAAGAATGAAGTAATTTACAGTTTATGTGAACATGGATCTACAAATTCTCTTTCTCAAACCTCTGATTGAGCCTAAAGTTACGAGACTTGTGTAAGTTTGATAGAGAGGGCTTGGTTTCAGCATCTTCGATACCCAATACTAGTGGCTTATCTTGTGACCCTGATTCTTGTAGCCTTCTCTTAAGCTGAAGTGCTTGTAACTTGTTTTGGGTCACAGGCACAAGTGCCGCGCGAGGGACACTTCTAGTGGTGAATGATGATACTTTGCCCTTCTCCTCATTAAAAACACTGTTTGAAGGTTGAGAGAAATCAGTAGCCGACGAAGCAGCACCAGTCTTAACTCTCTTCCACGTTGGAATCTAGTATCAAAATAAGGTACAAGGAGTAGAGTCATTGCTTGTGAGACGCTTTGAAAGTACCAAAAAATTGGCAGAACATCCACAGTTGGTTAACCCAAAGATTCTAAGGCTTATAGACCATACAACACCGCAGTGTACATCTGTACAACGTAAGTTCTGCTCACCGCCAACTGTAGTGCTCTGGTATCCAGCAAACATGTGAAAAAAGACTAATAATTGGCGTTCAGGAGGAAAAATGTAGCCAGAATTAAATCATACCGGAGCTGTCAAGTTTTCGTGGTGTGATTGAAGAGTTGTTGAAGGCGGAGGATGATCGTTCGTCTCATCCATACTGCCACCTGGAGGACCTTGTATGCGCCACGGTTGCTTATACATCCGCAGCAAGCTTTGGCTCTGCACCAACATCTCTTTTCAACAAATAGGTACAAGAAAATAGAGAAAACAGCGGAATCCTTTCACCATCATTTTTTATTGTAGTGAAGATGTGTCACAAGTCGACTGATAACATTCTGTCTTACTTCAAGAAATTGGCAGGTCTGGTGTGCCATGGTCCAAAAATAAAAGCCTTCCCTTAGAAAAGCTCTTACTAAAAGTAATTCATTGCAGTAATTTCTTTGCTCTATGAAAATCATTTCGAGACTTTGGCTAAATCATGCACATAGGAACTCCTGTTAAGTCTACACAGCTTTCAATAATTGTTACTTTAGTAAGCAATCATACACATGTTATTATGGCTGTATATGATGGCAATACAAATCTTTAACTCCCGGAAGAATAAAAGATTCCTATTATTTATTGGAAGATAATCACCATCTTAACTTTGTTGAATAATTACCTGTAACTTCAACTGCTCCACCTTGCTTCTGGAGGCCAGGGTATTGCTGTAAAGAGTGGTAGTATCGTCCGTGTGATTCCCATCATCTTCGCCCTGTCTAGAAGCCACTGGAGTGGTAAACTCACCAGTTGATATCGTGGTTTCTTCAACCTTCCTTGCAGTTTGAGGTTCTAGCTTTAGGTACAAATCTCTCTCCAGCTTTAACACCTGACCTTGTGCCTTTTCAAGTGCAGCCTGCAATCATCCAAAGTGAAGATTTTTTACTCCACAGCATCATCTACTGAAGACTGGGAATATCAAAAGGCCTCGAGCGAAAATGCTCACATGATGCAATGGCCATGTCGATGTTCATTTACACGATTAACCTACTAATTATTTGGCAGTGCTATTGATGAAATTCTTGACCACAGCAATTCCAACATATAACCAAAGCCAGAGGTTTACCTCTAGTTTTATCGATGATTGTTCTTTCTTTTTAACGATTTCATTCAATTGTGTTATCTCCTTTCGTCGTGCCTGTACATGAAGATAGTCAGTTCAGGCTGCTCATATGAACTGTTCTATTTCACATCTTAGACACAACGTATTATTAAGCCAGTGCTGGTGACAATTTGCTTTGCATGTATGACGTATACCTTAGCACTTCCTTCTACGTTGTGCAATCGTAGCTGCAGTTCACTATTCTGTTGCATGATCTCAGCAAGCTGGTTAGCTCTCTCCTGCTCTTCCTCGGGAGAAGATCTCTTACTCTTAGCAACTCTGAGCTCTTCCTCATATCTCTGACAACGCGATCTGTTTCAATATAATCATGCAATTTCCGTGATTAAAAGGATCCAAAAGACACAGATTGGTAAATAGAACATACTAAGAATTGATAGGACCATACTGTGTCATGCTCAAGTCCTCTCAACATATGTCGACATTTAGGTCACTGCCTATCTAGGCTATGCTTCGTCACATCATAGCTGTTGTACAATAAGAACGTGCCTACGTAGATCAAGCTCACCTGAGGCTCTGAATCTTCGCTTGGAGTCCATCATTTTCTCTTCTTGTTGCAGTTTTATGCTCGTCCAATTCCGTAATTGCTTCTTCCATTTTTTCACAAAGTGATTGGAAGTGCTCACATCGACTGATCGTAGCGTCCAACGCAAATTGAAGCTTCGTTTTCGACGTTAAATATGCTTTATTCAACTGCAACCACGCAGCTAAGTCACCACTGTATACTACAACCAAAGCTTACCATAATGAAATACTTCCACAACAAGCTTAATAAGCACTGATCTGAGGGACACCTGAAAGAATTACCTAGAACTTACGAATTTTACGACAAACTGGTGCTCTTTAACTTTACACGTTTATTATCTTTTTCTTTTGAATTTACGTTGCAAATCACGATCTTACATGACAACACTTACATGACTCAATGAAATTCCCAAGCTAACAGTACTGCAATATCACACGATAAGCAAGTTTGATAAACAAGTTTGATAAACCAGTCAAGGAGTTTTACTTGTAGTAGATGGAGCTCATTTTTCTGCAGTTGCTCATTTTTGTCCTCAAGGCTGCCGAGTCTGCAAGAAAATAGCTCCAAAACTTTCATTACCACCTTGAAAGAAGTCTCTATAACATTAAGAATCATACTCACAAGGATCAAAGACAGTACTGGAATCGGGATTTGAACATAGCAACTGAAGATTATACAGAGCGCATCCAGGTAGAATAGACCAGCTCAATGTTTTAGATTGATATGTCATTAATAAATTCATAAACTTCAAGAGCTGTACTTGACATAGTCAAAAATCACAACAGAGGAAATCTACATTTCGAATAGCTTCCAGGTGGCGATATTCTGAAGTAAATACCGGTAATACAGCGATAACAAAAGAGCTACAACATAATTCCAGTCAAAAACGGAGATCATTAGAGGATCATACTACATCAGGTTGGCGCTCTGAATTGTGTGGGTTCGGAGTTCCACTAAAACTTCGCTACCGAGAATTAATGATAATCAAGCAACCAACAAGTTCCAGCTGGTGAATAAACTTGTTGACAATTACAATACTTAGGATAATATTTGACAATTTACCTGGTAGTTAAGTCTGCAAGCTGTTGCTTTAACGTAGACTTCTCAGTTCTGGATTGGTCTAAGGCTGATTGCATGTCATCCACCTCCAAGTATAAGCTCTTAACTTTCATACTTAAATCATCGACTTCAGTCTGCAGGGATTCAATTTCGGCGTGTGACAAATTCAACTGAGTCTGAAGTTTCTCCACCTGTACAATTAGTCAGCTTAAGGACCAGACAGTATATATGGTCAACAATTTCTACATCAATACTTCGACAGAACGTAGTCACATCTGCTCAATTATGCAATATAATTTGCTAAAGCAAGTCGATCTGATATCACCAGCAACAGTCGAGGACAAATCAACTCGTACCTGTTTTTTGGCTACTTCTCGATCATTGTTCCAGGATGCTTCTAGATCAAGAGCATGATGTTTAGATTCACAATCCTGTCAAAATGGAAAAAGAAATCAAAGACATAATCTGTCAGCGTACGAATTAACGGCAACCTCTAATAAATATGTGGCAGGAGTATGCACCAAATGCTTGGTTTAAACAAAACTGAATCTAGATTTTTGTCGGGAAAGTGATGTATAAGATATTTACGACGGCTGAAAATTGGACTTTGCTCTTAGCCTCTAGCATGAACACATGTAGTACCTGAGCAGCTACTTCCATGTTGTTACGAAGCTCCTGTTTTAAATCTTCAATCTCCTGGAGAAGCCTAGAATTATCCTCTCTTCCTACTACGAGACTGGATTCAAGTCGAGAAATCTGTCCTTCAAGAGCTATGCATCTCTCTGCTTGAGATTGGACAGTCTCTAACAGAGAACGCCTCTCCTCCATCACTTGAACCCTTTCATCAGACTCCTTCATGTATGCTGCCTCGAGTTCGGAGTTTCTTTCGTTAAGGCTTGCACAATTTTGTTCTGCTTCTTGCACCATCCTGTTCAAATTTTCTGTTTTCTCTACAAGTTCCACTATAGATTGCCTTTCTTTCTCAATAGTGGATTCAGCTGCAGCTAAAAGCACTTCAAGCTTCTGCAGTTCCTCTTTCACTTCTTCCTGCTCTTTCTCCAGCTTTCCTTTTAGTTCCACTTGCTCTTCAACGGTAGAGTTAAGGAGCTCTACCTGCAGAAACATTTTGAAGTAGCGAGAGGATGATCAAATTTTAAAGGACCAGAATTGTCTTCACAATAACCGTGCAATAAAAATTAAAAGAGACATAAAAACACAGAAGCTACAGGAAAGAAAGTAACACGTCTTCAGACCGTGCATCACGTCACAAGATTGATCGAAAAGACCAAATTACTTTCGCACTAACAGAAGAGACGTACCTGCTGCCTTAGTTGTTGGCTTTCATGCTCGCTAGATTCAAGACAGTGCTTCAGGTTGTAGACTTGATCCTGAAGAGCAGCATGTGTAGCGCTTGCTGTTTGTTCCACTTCATCGAGCTGTACAAGAGATGGCAGGTTTCGTGTCAAACAATGGAACCTAAAAACCCTCAGGTAATACACTGAACATGCAGTATTGCGGCGATCTGCTGCAATGGGAATGAAAATAGATTAAATAAGTGAAGAAGAGAGCGTTGGCATTCTTTATTCGAAGGAATATACCTGTTTTTGAAGACTGTTCCTTGCGATGACGAGCTCTTCTTGTGCTTTTTGAACCTGGTTTTAAACAGAAAGAAATAAAAATTTGAGCCCATCTTCTGCATGAAAGTTTACACAAACATCCTCTAACTATCCTGTAATGGACAAAATTAACTCTGTACGGCCGAATAATACACCCGACTCTTATAACAAAGAGAATGTCAAGATCAGTATAATGGAATAATTCGCCCACTGAGGCGATTCAACTATAAATGGGCTATTCATCTAGTATAATTATTAAACTTCATGCTAAAGAGATAAACTAAAGTTTTTCCACATTGTTTGTACATATGCTTCTACTGTACTCAGCGCATTTTACATACAGCAGGACAACTAATTCAGCAAGCATAGCAACTTCCTAATATCAATGCACCTCTTGAAGCTGCTCTGTCAGATTTAGAATGTCCTGTTGAAGATCTTGGACTTTCGTATTATTAGCATCCGCTTTTGAAGACCACGCTGCCTTCTCTTCTTCAAATTCGAAGTGTGCATCAGTGAGTTGCTGCATACCACACCCAAAACAGCAGCTCAGAAATGCTTTGCAATCCTACATCGTATTTTGATTACGCTATGGTACATATCTTGACAATATTCATATTCGCTGACATACATACAATACAAACTAAATAAAAAATGAATAAAACTTAATTATGTATCTCGAAGACAATCCTGCCATAATCACCGATTCTCTTTGCTATTCCCATTCATACTCTCACAAAACAAACAGATTACTCAACAGTTCCCTAATTCATGAAACCAGTACTTACTCGAGCCAAGTCATCTCTTTCTAAGGAGATGGAATTCAATTTTGCTTCAGTCTCCTCACATGCGACTTGTAGCGTTTTGACCTTCTGGATCTGCAGCATCCGAGGCATGTCATGACACAGGAACACGTCTGGGCCATTGCGAAATGAAAATCTCTACTACGGCGGAAACGAGGACAACAGATAAAAATTGGTATAAAAGAAATAGATCAATGTCTACTTCATCATTAGCCATGCACTACATCAGGTATTATAATCCGCCAAACCACAATTTGAAGTTTAATAAACGATAAAAAGCATAAATTGGAAGCAAACCAGAATGGTGTGCTCATTTTGAAGAGCGTCGTGCTGAGCAACTGCAGCCCTTTTTGCCTCTAATTCATCACTTAGATCTTGGGCCATCTTTGTAATAGTGGCAGTAGCCGTTTCTTTTCCATCTCTCAATACAGAGATAACATTTTCAGCCTCAACAAGCTTTTCCTTCAATTTAATAGAAGAACTCTCAATTTCAGCCATGTCAGCCTCAAGTTTGGAGTAGTTATCCTGTCATCAAAACATTAAACGTTGGTCCATGTCTTAACACAGCTTCCACACACTCTCATGCTCAGCTCAAACAGAATTAACACTGTGAAAGACCGCAAAGAGAATGCGAGCGATTACAACTACATCCTACGTCGTGATGCAAGAATCAAGTTAAAGACGTTATCATTTGATATGAAACCATAGAGCAATGGAGTATAAAATGACACTTATGCCAGACTAGTAACATAAATTCCATTCAGATTACGGATTCATCCATGCAGCAAGTGGATGCTACTCTTCACTACTCTAATATTCTAAGTTTAACAGCGTCGTATTAGCAGAGTAAAATGGCATTACTACAGCGGAAGAGTATGCTAACCTGGAGAAGCTGAAGGTCGAAAGCCGTCTTCTCGAGCTCATTTGTTTTCATTTGCAGTGCATGCTCAGTAGACGATAGCTGAAGCTTCGTCTTGTTAAGTCCACAAGCAACAGACTCTCGACGCTTATCCACTATCGATTCACGCTTATTGAGCAACGCAGTACTCTGCCGGAGCTGCTTCACCTCCCTTTCGACATTCAGTTTTTCAGTCTGCATGCTCATGAATGTAGGCCATGAATTAGAGTTTGTGAAGAATAGTGAACATAGTACACAATGCTGATATCATGGGGTTACTAATTCATCAACTTAGTTGCATAAAGTTCGTAGCATGAAAGTATACATTCAACATCACATAGCACATCCAAAAGATAGTAAGCCACATACCTCAACTTTGCTTTTCTCAATCAAGGTTGTTTTGAGCTTTGCCTCAATATCTCCTAACTTGGTCTTAACCTTCTCCAAGTCCTTTCGCAAACCATCTCGCTCCTTCTCCAGAGAAGCGGGGGCAGACTTGGCAGCCTTCAGCTCCTTGCGCAGTCCCAAAATATCTGATTTCAACTGACATGATTCTGTATTGTGGAGCTGCTGCAATACCTGGGAGTAAGAAAGCTTGTGAGATTCACACTTGGAATCCAAAAGGCCATTAAAAAGAAATACAACGAGATGGGAAGTACATGCTTGCAAATAGAGGGGCAAAAATAATTCCCTCCAAATTGAGTAGTTCTTACGGATCAGTTAAGTAAACACTGTGATTTCTTTGAACTGCTGCTTAGCATCATTCACAAGACTTGGAAGGTCAAGAAAATGATCGTACCTCAAACTTCGTTTTGATCTCTGATAAAGCTTCGGCTTTTGACGCCAACTCAGTATCTTTGGCACTCAGGCTTTTCTGCAAGCCAGCCTGTGCAGATGTTGAAATATTGGTTAGACATGAATAGACACTTTAAGTATGATTAACTTTAGAAAATCATCTGCCCTGTGACCAGAATATCTCTCTTATTCTCTGGACATCGAAGAGGTTAACAATTGCAGCGGAAATATCGAAAATTAACAAACCAGGGGCCAAATTACAGGATCTCAATCATGGGAGAGGCGAAAGGGTTACGAGCCTTGAAATTCTCCAGCTCCTCAAGACTTTGCTGCAATAAAAGACGTTCCTTCTGATTCTCCGCCAATAAAGTATGTACTTCATTCAATTGCTGACCCGCACCATCAAGCTCAGAGTTCGCAGCTGCTAATCTATCCTCCATCTGCTTTAACTCAACCTGATGCAGCTCACCTTCTTGCTTAAGACACGATATCATGTCTTGTAACTGGATAGTGGAACTTAATAGAGCCTCTTTTTCCTTTCCCAACCGCTCCTTATCCTCGACGCATTCGTTCAAGTGGCATCCAACTTGCTTCAGATTCTCCTCAAGCTTCAAATTCACTGCTTCAAGGTTCGATACAACTGCTTGAAGATCTTGAATTTTCCTTTCAAGTTCATCTCTATGTGAATGTTGAGCGACGATCATTCTTTCAATCAGCTCATTTTTCTCTTGCTCCGCCAGCTCTAGAGCTGACGACTTCTGCGACAGTAGAGCTTCAAGCTCTTCAGTTCGGGTCTGTTCTTTAGTCATTTGGTGAACTAAATCATCTTTCTCTTGCTGCACTTGCTCTAGTTCTGCAGTCTTCTTCACTAATAAATCTTGAAGCCCAAGAATAGAGCTGTTGGCTGCGCTAATCTTCAATTTGGCTTCTTCCAATTGGGATTCTTCATCACTACGCAGATGCTTGAGTTGCTTGCTCTCTTCATTAAGCTCTTGGATCACCCTCAGTAATCCATCACGTTCCCCCTCGACCCTGTGGAGGTCAACTACCTTGCTGTTTAGATCTTCTCTTAAGCTGGAATATTCTGCTTCAAGGTTCAAGAGGTCCTTACTGAGAACCTGTGTTTTTTCAGACTTCTCTTGCAAAAGCATTTCCATACATGCAAGTTGCTGCTGAGCACCCTTTAAGGAAAAAGTCAGCGTGCCCTCCAGCTCTTTAGCCAATTCAAATTCTCGAAATTTCTTCTCAAGTGTATTTTCCAAAAAAGAAGTATTCACAACCAACTCCTCGATTTTGGTTTGCAATATTTTTTTCTCATCATTCGTTCGAGAAACTGTGTCTTGAAGATCAGCGACTTTCTCCGCAGCTCTCACTCTCTCAATTTCGGCCGCTTCAAGAGCTCTCACACCAGCCTCTATCTCCTGACGCTGACTCTGCACCTCGATATCGACCTTTTTCAGTTCAGTTTGAGCTTGAAAATATTGTTCCTCCAAGTCTGAAAGTGCTGACCTAAGCGAATTACGTTCCTCAACAAGTCCAGCTTGCTCAACATCAGCCAGTTTGATGCTGTCTTTCTGATTCTGAACTTCTTGTTCCCACGCGATTTTTGCATTCTCCATTTCCAATTTTATATTTCCCATACTTTCAACCTGTGCACAGAACTCACCATCCTTTGAGCACCCTTTCACCAAGCTCCGGAATCATTCTCAGAACATTGAAGCATTTCAATCAACGAAAACAGCAAAATGTTTACTCATTAATGAGAAACAACGACATTACAGACAACTCAACCACAGATAAGGTATACATATAACGTTGATGCGATAGACCCTCTACTACTACAATGATTAAGACCAAATACACCAGCAGGAATTCGTTGAATAAAGAGCTGAGGTTCGTAAGTACAAACCAATGCTGCGCATTCGCTTTCAATATCAGCCAATTTAGCGCTTTTCAAAGTTGATTCCTTCAGTGCTTTCTCAAGCTCCGCCTTCAAATTTAACTTCTCCTGGTTAGTTACTTCCAGAGCATTTACAGCTTCTGATAGGGTTTCCTCTAGTGCCATTGAGTAAGATCTCGATTCAGCAAGCTCCGTTTCAAGAGTGACCTTAAACTCCTGCATCACATTACGGTGGCTATGTTTAGCTTTCGTCGGCACAAGAATCTCCTGGATATGTCTACAAAATGCAGTGGTATTAAGGTAAGTTCATAGGCTCTCTGCGTTTCACCTGTACGAGTTCACGCTCGCGCTTGACCTCAGCGAGTTCAGCCATGTTTGTTTTTAGAGCACACTCAGCAGCTGAGAGCTGTACACTTTTCTCCACCAAAACAGAATTGATAGATTCAGAGCCTTGTCCAGCTAAGCACGTCTCCATTGCACACTGTCACACAAGGATCTCCACATTCTTAGCACATAAAAATCAAATAACACTTTGGAGATTGAAAGGAGGGTTTGAATGCAAATGTACGCACGCACAGATTTGAAGAATCTGAAGTAAGAAATAACTTAGAGAAGCAAATGGCTTCTATCGCACCTTCTCTGCTGTAAGATTTGCAATTTTGAGATTAAGAGCTTCAACTTCAATGTTCTGGTTTAAGCGCGCCTGATGTAATTCAATCAATTGCTTTTCATCCTTAGCGTGTAATGCTCGCCCAGATTCAAGTCTCTTCTCTGCCTCAGCAAGTGCTAGGCCTTGTCTTTCAAACTCAGTGCGCAGACAATTGCATTCTTCTTCAGACCTACTGCAGGCTTCTATTAATTCGGACTTCTCTTTGTTTAGGGCCTCGTATCTAACAGCCAGCTCTTCATACTCTCGTCGAGATGACTCAAACTCTATTCTCTTTTGAGTGAGTTGGGTATGAAGAGCTTGAACACTCTCCTCAAGTGATTTACTGGTGGATGTAGCTTCGCATTGTAAATTCTCCAGCTTCAACTGAACTGCTTGTTGCTCTTCAGTCTTCTCAGTTAGAAGTGACCGCAATAAAATTAACTGCTCCTTCACCAGATGAGTCTCAGATAATGCAGTATCTAATTGGTTTTGAGCCTCTTTAAGTTCTTGCCTCCTTTTGCCATGCAGACGATCCATGTCCGCTTGTGCTTGTTTGGATGTTTCAATAAGAGCATCTCTCTCGCCTTCTAACACCTGATCAAACAGACACCACGGAAGGTTGTTCAACATAGCCGAAGAGCATGATCTAGACATCTGAGCCATTATTCGCAGACTCGTAGCACTCCTGTATACCTCAATAACGTCCTAGACGTTGCAACTAAACATCTACGTGTTTGACAAATCACTATGATTGGTGCATACTGAATAAGTATAAACTAAAAATGTTTTAGCATGATTCCTCACATGCATACAGGTTTCAGCTGGTTTATGGGACAGAAGTACACAAAGACTTGATAAAAATCCTCAGAAATTAATACAATGTCCTAGCGAAACAGTAGTGAAACCCAAAAGCACAACCGAGTTGAATGTTTGGGCCACTTTCTACCTGAATAGTTGCATGCATAGCTTCTCCTTTAGAAATAAGGTTGGCCCTCTCTTGAGAGACGAGTGCTAGTTCTTGCTCGAGCTCCGCAATCCGTTCTTCAAGTTTTTCCTTTTGCTCCTTGGAGATCGCACCCATTGATTCACTTTCTAAGTCCCTGATTTTTTGTTCAAGAGCTTGCTGTTGTCTTTCATGTTGTACTACTACTGACTGCAGCTCGGCGATCTCATTCCCAGCATCAACGATTTTTTGGTTTGCAGCGAGCAGATTCGATTCAGTTGCCTGCAGTGCATTACTTTTCCCCGAGATTTCAGCTTCAAGTGATTTCAAGTCAGCCTGGGCTGACTTAGAAAGCTCAGAAAAAGCATCTCTCTCCTTCTGGACGATTTGAAGGGAGCTGAATAAGGACTCGTGCTCCTTCATTATGACCTCAAGTTTACTCTGCACACTGCCGCATTGTTGGATTTCGGCAGCAGATCTTAAAGACTTCATGTCGATTACAGATTCCTGCGAAAAAAAAACCAAAAATAAATACACACAAAACAAAACAAGCTAAAAACAAAACAAAAACAAAAAAAAAAACAAAAAAAAAAAACAAACAAACAAAATTCCCATACGAGTCAGTTCAATGCTCCTTCCGAAATCTAAGTGAAGACTAATTAACTCAGTATCTTCGCTCACTTCTGAATTTTAAGAAGGGATTTACGCATCCACAATAAGCTTTCAGAGGTATGCTCAAATAAAAAGTACGCATTGTTATGAAGATAAACAGCAAGAACATGCGCATCAAATCTCAAAGCAGCTATTAAACATTGACTATCAAGAATTTATGAACCAAGACGCAGCATAAAATTTCGTTCTAGATATTGTAAAACATTAAAATATATATATATATATATATATATATATATATATTGAGAGAAATAGATTGTGTCATCAACTGATATGCATTACCTGAAGATCCTTAATGATGGCGTTGAACGCGGTTTTAGTGTCGGCAGCAGCCGTATACAAAGCTTGAGAACTGCTCTTTGTGGTTTCAACCTCAACAGTCAGTTCGTTGAAGAAAGCAACCAACGCTGCTTGCTGTTCAATGTTAGTTTGTTGATCATTCTGTAAGTGGTCAATTTGGTGAAGGGCGAGATTTAACTCTTTCGTAGTATTGGCTGCATTGCTTTTTGCTTCCTCTAGCTCTTGCTCCAACTGGTGTCTCAATGCAAGAGACATCCATGGGTGAGAACGGAGTTCAGAAGGATGAACCCTCTCAAACTTCAGAAAGCCATCGCCTCTAAGAAGTCTATGTCAAACAGAAGAAAAATCTCTCCATTTGCGCAAATGACTGATTCGCACAGAAAACCCTTGAATTTAAAGATCTAATCTCTAGAATTGTCCAACAATAATAGAGGCACCTTAACCACACAATCATAGACACCATATATGCAGCGAGAAACACGTAAGAATCATTCACCCGTAAAGTTTTGAATAAGAACCTTATGTATAGTCGAAGATGAAGAATCTGCTTGGGCAATAGACTGCTCTTTGACACTATCAAGTTCTCTTTGCATGTATATTTTCTCCATCTCAAGAACCTGTATCTGTTTAGCGAGTTCTCGGACCAATCAGCTCTAATATGTGAAGTCCACACGCAAAAATGTGCACGTAAGAGCTTACATAGCAGCTTGACTTCATTTCTTATAATGTTCGAGCTGTATAAAAAGTTAGCTAATTCTAAATCCAGAAGTGCGTTTCCAAAGTAGTTTAAGAGACATGCCTGGACAGACAATTTTAAGATTAACTTGTACCTGAGCCCTTAGATGGCTGACAGTAGCAAAAGAATCACTACCATCCAAGCTTCTTCCTCTCCTATCCTCTGCTTCATGAGACGCGTTATCCAATTTGCGAGCTTTGTTAGCAGCAGAATGCATGAATGCCATCTCCTTCTTGAGATCCTCCATCTCCAACACTTTTTCCCGCATCTGCAAGTGATTCCATTGTGTTAAGAAATATCAGTCTTGTTCCACTATACCATCCAATATGAGCAATATACAAACAGATGGTCGCTGACAAACTGCAATACCAATAATTCGGCGTCAATCAAGAGTCAAATGTAAACATTCTCCAAGAATTCTCAAAGAAAAATGAACTTACTTTCATTTCATGCTCAAGTTGGAGGTTCTCATATTGCGCTTGCAAGTCCCCAAGCTGCTGCCTTAGCTAAGTCATAGCAACAAGAAAGTACTCACATTAAGTACCCATCTCAAGAGATCCTAATTCCCCTATATTCTACTGGATAAGATCAAATAAAAGACCGGGAGCTTGCATTAACAACTTTCCAAGTCGTTAAGACATCCAAGCCGGATGCACAAACCAAAACGGAGAAGCAAAGAGTGACAGAAAAAAGTGTATTGGCCTTCGAGTTACTGCGGCCGAGAAATACTCACGTCATCCTCCATCGACGTTTGTGATGACCGTCTTTTCCTTTCGCAAAAAAAAACAGGAGGGGGCTCCTGGAAGATAGACTCTAGATTACAGCTAGCTGATTGGATGCTTTGAAATCGGTCGACAAAGATATTCTCATCCAACTCCATAAAGGGTGACACCTTGTCTTCATCTTCCAGAAGGCTCTGAAATGGTGGTGGCATAGGCGGAAGTCTGTCTCTTCTGGTTGAAAGAGTTGATTTCTCGAATGGAGACTCTTTCGCAAAAGGTCGCTTGATTTCTTGCACCTGCAGGTGAAGAATCTATCGGATGTCAGGTTTCATGGAATGACTTCTCTAACTAGTCCTCTCTCGCGCTCGCAAAGAGTGGCAACTTCATCAAATTCATCAAAGAGACGGACATCAGATGGTGTGGTTATGACCTCTCCACTAGTTTCAATAGAAGGAATTCGGGGACACCAGGTTTCACGTCGGTTATTCTGCAGTTGTCACACATAATGTAATAGTGTCAGCACCCATGAGCAATGGGGTTCAAACTAGGGCACACTTCTTGTATGATAATTCCTCTGATAAAACAGTGCTAATAACTTTGCAGCACTTAACGAGGCAAACATGCGTCAATCTCCAGTGACAATAACCTTTTTATTACGTCTGTCAATATCTCGATCGTCAACGGCAGAGTTGATCACCATAGTACTCAAACTCTCAATCTTCTGTTCTTGCTCTTTCAAGCGCCGCTCACGCTCTATTTGTGCCTTCTTCTCTTCTTGCAGCTCTAGCGCCATGCGCTCTCGATCTAGCTCCGTCTACACCAATTCAGAACATTAGAAATTACTAAGAAACACTATCGCCTGCGTTAATCAGTAAGTCCTCCAGAAACGAGTAATACCTTCAGAAGAGCGTTTCGTAAGTTGAGGATCTCAGCATCCCAATGCTCGGAATGGTTTTCCTGCAACGGAAAGAATCATTAGCGCACTTATAGAAAAAGAATAGATCAAGAGTTTATTTTAAATTGGGAGTCGACCTCAAATGAAGAACGCTGTACAGTGATAGAAATCGATACCAAAGCATACGAGCATACGTATTTGAGTGAAATCATTGTAAAAATTGTAATTGACATCCAATATGACCTGCTATACGCAAATCTCTTTCTATTGCTACATATGGAGGATTCCGTTGTCTTACTCGTAACTTGCTGCGAAGTTCCTCAATTTCCTTCTTTTGACGCTTCAGCAATGCAGCATCAGTCATAATCTGAAATATAACATAAACAAGTGAATCAACCATGACGAATATAGTGGTGTAAAGCCGCTTAAGAAATGGTAGGCGCGAAGATGCATCCAACCATGTACAAGAAAGTGACCCCAACTACAGAGAATACGACGCACCTCATTCACTTGGGCACAGTTAGTGACACGATTGGCTCTGCTAGCAAAGAACAATGTTCCTTTTGTCTCGTCGACATGAATCTGTTCAAAAATTGCGTGTGTTATTTGGAGGAAGGGAAGAGTTCCCACATCGACTACGAAATTGTAAGCACAACTAGAGACTGGACCCCAAAAGTAAACACAACATAATAAGCAGAGGTATCCTTACTGGAATGTAAGGAGTAAGAGTATGGAACCTGAGCTGGAGTTATGTTACAAATTACAGCAGTCTTAGCATTTCCTCCCAAGGCTGGCTGCAAAATCCTCGTTAGCTTGCTGTCTCGATATGGCACGTGACCCCTACAAATCAAATGCTCATTATCAGAGACGAATGGATTAGTCATCATAGGATACCTCACGACATCCAATGTACTTTCGTTGTTTGTGCTTCCAATGGTACAATTTCAAGCAAGCCCTTAACGTGATTTCTGTAGTCAAAGCACTGATTTAGTTATTCGCAAAGAACGACTGTCACAATCTACAGCTCAGGGTGTTTATTCTGACCCTTGTTTCTCAACCCCTTCACTGAGTTTGTTGATGACAGTCCCCAGCGTCATCAAACTTTTATTGATGTGAGTACCCTCCTTTAATCGAGCCCCCTCGGCTCCTGTCTTGGCAACACGCTCAGACCCAGCAAGGTCAACCAAATTCTACATAGCAAACAAATATCAGTCCATTGACGTATACAGAATGAGCAATAGTAAAACTCTTTGAGTACTTCTCTCGTGAAATTTTTAGTTTAACATTCAGTGCACACTCTGAGACTGTAATAAAAAAAACAGGAAGTAAGGCAACCTGAGAAGATATTACATACTGACGAGAAAATAGCTAACTGAAGCTCTTCGAGGATAATGCACAACGATTCCCTGTGGATAGAACAAAGTTAAGGGTGTACCAGAATCATGCAGACGAACTTACCAGAACGGACACTCTGACGGCATCACAAGATTGCACTGTGCCAGGATCAGCGGGATCATCATGGCTCCTATCTCTACTCTCAATCACCTGCATCAATCCTTTGATGTTAGAACCTATTAAAGCTAAATAACCACTCATTGTGAGTCTTAGTGACTTACGTTAATTTATAGCCACTATTTCTGTCAGCACATTACTATCAAGACGACAGACAATTCAAAACTTGAATCTGAGCCTCCCTATGATAACTTCGAAGTCAAGACGAGGTGGTACTAAACTTGGCACAGTTAGAAAGAGCGCACAAGAACTTACCATGCGGAATATTGAATGAGACCTGCTGCTGTAGGCATTCATGTTGGTCTCCCCAACATGTCGATAATCTGCAATAAATTCCAGAATATGTTTGATAATAGGCTCGATGCTAAAGAAATAATTTATGATTACAAAAGAGGAATTCATATTGGAAGGCAAGACTTCACAAACAACAATACAATATACGATTCTGAAAGAGACTGAGAAAAGGTCCATACTCTCTCCAGCTGTCATCAGATCAAGAACTTGCTCTGGGCTGACCACAATCTCCTCTCTCAGACCCGCAACAAATATCCCTCGCTGCATGCAAGAATTACACGGCATTCACTATTTTGTTGAACACATCATTGAAGAAACCGGCCAGGCACAAAAATGTCATTATTCATACGTGTTTAGGAGAAATCCCTACTAAAATTTAACGTAATGGAATTCTTGAGATCTGTGTTTGAGTTCGGGTTACGGGTTCGAAGAGCAGATACTTTTAACACTTCAACTTCATACAGAAAAAAGAAAAAACAAACAAACAAACACACCAACGACGACGACGACGACGACGACAACATAGTGAAGTACACTGTAGATACCAGCATACACAACTCAAATGTCGAAAGATAATCTAAACAAACCTCAATGTTCTCATGAACTTGTAGTTTCCGATTTTCAGGAGCTAACAGGTCATTGATCTCTTCATTGTAAATTTCCATGTAGGAAACACGCAGAAGAAACTCACGATCTTCAGCCTGTGAAGGCAAAATTCAATCGATTAGAAATGTCGATTTAAACTTTTCCACATACAAAACAATATGGTCTTCATAATACAGGAATGTCGGAGATACCTCTTGAATGTTTTTAAAAATCTCCTGAACAGCCAGGGGTATAATGCCAGGCTCAGAAGAGTTTCCCCGCATTGTATAGGTCTTCCCACTACTGGTTTGCCCATAGGCAAAAACTGTGCCTGTTTGACATGATCGAAAGCGAGAAATGAGTGATGCAGATGGTGCTAATGCAGCAGGGCGTACAGAAGATTGAGTGAGGTATGAATGACAAGAAGAAAAGTTTAGAAGTCCTAGAATTACCTTGAACAATATAGAAAATCAAAAAATTAAAAACTTAAACAAAACAAAGCAGAAAGCCGAAATAGGAAATATAGAATTATTGAAGAATGAATATTATGTGTAGAGAGTGCTGTAAGCTTCATCAATGACTCAAAGCACACATATTTGACTACTCCCTAAAATTGGAATAGGACCACCAACTACATACCCGAACTGACCAACATACACACCACTCACAAACACTTCTTCGGGAGCCTTCTCTTTTGGGCATTTCTGCTGGAAAAGCAATATCGAAGTGATTACAATATAAAATTCGGAACGCAGTCAAGGATTAATCAAGCATACCATTGAACCCTCTCACAGCTGATGCAATGATGTCTTTAGTGTGAGTTTCATAGATTTCCAAAGTTGAGGTCTCCGAGCCAAACACTTTGTCTGCAATATTGGATAATGCGAACAACTCGTGCAATCAGCACCTTACATTCCACGTCAATAATGAAAATAATAAGAAACACAATAAATTAACACAACCTACTTTTTTGCCACTGAGACAATGGGCTTCGACATGATGTGAAAAACCTTGATATCAGTTTATAGCACAATGCGTATGTATTGAAACAATAGTCTTCTGAGAGTAACTGGAATGCATGTCACAAAAATCTACATCTAGGGTGCATCATCGCGAAGCCAAACTTGGGAGAAAGTAAAACCATTTCGGTATATATCATCCTAATGAACTGCAGTTATATTTCTTTTAAGCAATAAAATTTTAGTGATCTTGCTGAAGGGGTTAACATCGTTCGTAGAAAGAGTGGACGTATACCAAATTTGTAGGCCTGGCCAGATATTGGTGCTCCGGAATTATTGCAAAGAGCAATGGAATTCGGACCAAGCTTCCACGGGCTGCCTTTAGCGGCTTCCGCTTTGCTTAGTGGACGCACTCTGATGCTCACAAAAATCTTCTCCATCTTCTCTGTTAACACAGAGGTAAGTCAACCAGATAGCACGATCGCGTCGACGAGGAAATACAATCGAAAATGTAGTTCCATAACATGGAAATGTACTGTTTAAAGAGGGATGAATACCCTACAACGCACCTGTCTTGCAACTATTTCTTTCTTGGAAAATGCATAATCAAATGTAGATTAACTACCCCTTCTCTGCACCGGGCATCCTTGTTGCTCCTCAATACCAGTTCCAACCCAATGGTGTTCACTATCCTGTCCACCCGTAACAGCTCCCCCTGTACGAACCAGAGATTTCTGGTTGCCCTGAAGCTACGAACTAATAAATATAATGAAGGGAAAAATCTGTTTGTAATCGAGGAGATTACTTAACCAACCATAAATTAATCTCTTCAGAAACTAATCCTTCACCTTTCACACCCACACGCCCCCCACTCACGCTAATCAATCGTCTCTTAGCAAACTGTCATCAGTATGCAAACTCCGCTACTCAAAAGAGCTACCACACACTTGCGACACTTGCGACAGGCGCAACGAACTAAGAAATCATCAACACTGCTGCACCTCTCCTTCCGTTTCGCTCTCTCTCTTTGCCCCTCCCCCGTTCCGAGCTACCTCCCCTTCTTTTCTTACGTCCCAATAACGGTAAAATCCTCCGCTTCGTGCCCAGACACGGCGAGACAAAACGCAAAGGTTGCTAACCTGCAGTTCACTACGCGAGGGTAGAAGGTAGATGATGCGACGAAGACATCGACAGAGGCAGGAGGAGGAGGAAGTCGCGATGTTCGGAACAAGTGAGCGGAACAGCGAGGAATCGTAAAGCAGGGGCTCAAAAACGTTCAAAAACTTGAACCCAACATTTGAATGTTGGCGCCGACGCTGTACTACCCGTATTTATCAAGTATCGTACAAATGTATATATGTATTCCTCGTCAACTGCTATCGCATTCGTGAATATACGCTACGATCCACGACCTACGGTCCCTCACCAAATTCAAACTGGCACTATGTATGAGGGAGAGGAAGTCAGTTGACATTTATAGAAAATTGCTTTCAGTTAATTCCGTGGTTCACGTGCGTACATGGTCAGTGACATATACACAGTGGATTACTTTCTCCACATTTGGATCACAAATAAGACTGTAACTGTGTTGTTTTCTTATTAGTGAATGTATATATTTTGTGTAAACGAAATGAATAACTCATATTGGATTTGGGATAGAAAAAAAAATTTAAATTAATACTAAAAGTATTATGTCATGTATGAAAATTACAACAGTAGAATGAATAATGATAGAGATAAAATAAAGTTTTAAATGTGTTAGAATTTTTTACTTGTTCACTTTAAGCAATTTATTCCAGTTCAAGTATGGAAATTTTAATGTTTGACTTTAATGCTTAATTTAGGACTTTTAGGGATTAAATTATGTTTTTTAGTTTCATAATTGGCTCTCTTTTTAATTCTCTACGATATTAATTTTAGAAAATACATTCAATCAATTTTAAGGAATTAAAACTAAATTTGGGTAGAAAATGAATTTTTCTACTGGTTTTAAAAATATAAAACAAAACATATAATCATCCAAAATTGCAAAAAGTTGGTGCGATTAATTTTCTTGAAATAAAGTGATTATAATAAAGTAATTATTTTATCTTTTTTTCTAAATTTTATGAATTCAAGTAAGAATTTTGACAATTTTGATCAATATAATCATTAGGTTTAGTGTTCTGTTTAATTGATTTTTTATATGCAGTCATTTTTTATCTAAATAATTCATTAGTAAAAAAAAGCCAACTAATTAATGTAATTTAGAAGTAAAAAATTATACAATCTACTTTGAAATTTTAAATTGAATCACTAAAGGTAATTTTAAAATAAAACTTTATAGAAAACCAAGTCAAAAATGTTTGCCACAAAAGTACATACTTCAAGACATACATTCAATATGAATGTATTTCTCAAAGAAATATTTAAAAATACTGTATCATCGCAAATAGCCAAAATATATACTTATGTTGTAGATTGTTTAAGCGTGATAATAATTCTACCAAGATCTGAAGTGAACACTGCAAATATTGCTTTAAACTGAAACCAACGGATCAGTGAGTGAGAGCTACGTTGATCGGAGAAGTGAATGAGCACAATGCAGAGTGTACGTGAGAAGCTGTTGCTGAAATTCACAAGGTCAGAGACGAGGAGTAGATGATAATATGTGCTGATCAAAACTAAGCGTACACCAAAAGTTGGTGCTTAAACTCGGGTTCCTTAACAACGACTTTCTGAAACAGCAGGAGTAGGTCGGCTAGTGCACAGTCCACGCGGCATGCACAGCCAAGTAAACCACGGCAAGGTTTGAGGACAATTGCTTCAACAAGCCTGAGATGTGGTAGACGACATGAACTAGATAAAAAGGTACAATCAACTATGTGGCAGCCTTTATTCAGGACTTGAGCTGCAATAAAGAAAAAACTTGGTTCAGAGCAACCTGATTGACGCAGATTAGCCGTGATTGATTTGGACATTGAATAGTTCAGGGAACGGGATTAAGTTCCTCGTAGAAGAGATGAGTTCCATCGGTTCCGTAAATTTTGAGACTTATGAAATATTAGTCAACTTCTGCATGTGCAGTTGTCAGAAGACGCCTCGAAGAACCAGACGTAAAGCATCATTCAAAATTTGCAAGAGTTCTGTACAACAGCACTGCAACCATGAACTAACACAGCGTCCCTGCATGGCCCTGGAAATCGGACCTCAGTTGTCTTTCTTTGACACAAACATGTTACCTGGAGTTCCAGCATCTTCTACTTCTTCTTAACAGTCGTCTTCATACTCTCCATCCGAGTCATCATCGAGACGATGGCTCGCAGGAGTGATCGGCGCCAGCGAGTTGAGTTGCGACGATAGTCCGATGCATTCCCCATTACCCGGGATTCTGGTCAAAACATCACATTGCCAGTCTTCGTCTTCATCTTTCTCCTCGCTGTTGTCCTCGTCGCCCGTGTCAAGTAGGAAGTGCACCAACCGGGAGAAATCGCTTTCAGGAAAATCAGCTCTCACAAAGTGCTTGCGGCACGTAACCTTGGCCTTGCATGTTGTTTTCCCAATGCCATGGTGCCAACCAACATCCTCGATAAAGAAGTTGCGAACATCACCAAGGGCCACCCCCTCTCGCACCGCCCTCCTTCCCATGGTCCTCACAATGAGATGTTTGCAATGCCAGGCCCCTGGACATCTTTTCCACTCGTAATCCTCCTTGTAACCCTCCCGCGCCCAATCTGCCACCAGTTTGAACGCACTTGGCGACATCAACAACTCCGTGGGAGCCTCTTTGGAAGGCAGGTACTTAATGGTCGGGCAGCGCGCATCATCCAAACACTTCAGTCTTTCCTGCAGCCATGGACATTCGTGAAGGCTGACCGAGAGCCTCCTCTCATTCTGGCTGATCTTGCATCTGTACTCATGGTACACGAACTTGTCGCTAGGAACGAAGACGCCGTGCTTGATGAGCGTGCCCAGTTTTGGCAGGATCCGGTTCGCCATTCCTTGACGCTCTGGACGCGGTATCCTCGTCTTCTCATGAGGAGACCAGGAGTTCGACGCCATTACTCTCTCTTTCACGAAACCCCTCGGCAACTGAGAGCACAGACTCCCGCGCACGAAGAATATAGTAAATAAATTTCAAAAAACTTGCGATACCGAGATTCTTGGTATAATAAACATTCGTTCAAATCTGAAATTATAGTATAAACAGAATCTGATTCAATCAAAGCCAAGCAGAACTTAGCATCCACCACCGACACTAGGGGGATTGAAGGCGTCGAAGATTTAGTTGGCGGATCTTCAAAATGTGAACCTGGGTAAAGGCAGCCTCATACCGCATAGCTCCAAGTAGTGTGTTCCCAATTGTTGTCTATATGTGAGTGTCTGTCCTCAGATATATATATATATATATATATATATCTGGAACTTTAAGGTGCCACAAGGTATACAAGTTTGGTGATGAGATATAATGCGATTTTAAAATTTTAATGAGATGACAAAATTCTTTTAACATAGATTTAGCATTCCATTACAATTTTTTTGTTTCCACATTATTAACTTGTGACAACCCAAAGGCACTTTGAAAATACTAAATATTACATTGAAGAGGGAAGGAAAAAATATCGAGTCCTCACATATGGGTAATGAGGAAAAAGCAAGTTTAGTGGTTATTGTGAGATGATTTCATCCGGCACTTGTCACTTCCCCTCACCCCCACCATTCACAATAATAAGTCACACTCAGTTGTCTTTCACTGTGGTGTTGTTTTGTCTTTTCATGTGGATTTCAACGTCTAACATTCAAGTATGGATGACTGCAATTTTGAAGCATTTGGATGCAAATTACATCTGGACATGTGTGAACAAATCAATCAATAGTTATCAGAACATCAGTGGACATTTTAATTAAGAATAGGAAAACTATCCCTTGAATTTTTAATGATTAATCCCACATTTGTTTTTAATAAATTGTTAGTTTGAGCTTTGAGAGGTAAGTTCCTTGATTGTGATAACAAGGTATTACATTTTACCAAAAATAAATCATGGTTGTATGCAAATCAAAAGATTAAAGAACAGCCTATTTTATTTTATTTTTTACTAGTATAATTGAGATATCCATTTCTATGCAAAGGGTTTAATTTTACATTTTTTTGTAAGTTTTCAATCATCTTTGTGTCTATATGATTTGACAATTATATTGTCAGCTACAAGGGTTGTGGAGTTAATCGTTTGTAAGCATCAATACCCTTGGTTGTTCTTTTATTTAAACAATGATACTCTTAATGATTTTATTTCTATTCCAATCATGAAATTTTAAGAATAAGCTTGTATCTGAATAACGAAATCTTGAATACAATCTATAATAAAAATATTCATATTCTTTTTTTAGAACTAGGTAACCCATAACTTTTAAGTTCCATATAATGGTTGATAAAAGGAGTAATTTAATTTGCTTTGAAAAGACCTATTTTTATACAAATGTAAAAAAGTCGTTATAAATAATCTGCAGCTTTAGAACAGTTAATAGCTTTCAAACGAAAGTTCACCACTTACTTTAAAATAATAAAAAAAATCATGAAATATATATTCATAGAAAAGTTTGGAATAGAACAGTCCACAACATCCAAAATGACACATTAATATCAAACAGAAGGATAATTCATTCCTAATCAAGAGACATGGATGCAAATGAGCTGTTATATTGGAGAAAAACGAATAAATAAATGAAATGTCAACAACTAAAACCATAAATGGCACACAAAAGAGAGTTCAAGGAGTAATTAATAATGATTAAACACATTGGAACAGAATTGAATTTTAAACTGACTATGCCAAAGGATCAATATACACAGGAATTCTAGTTGACGGGTTCAGGTTTAAACCACTCCCTCTTAAGTAAGATACAAGTTCTATCACCTCACCTAATTTTGCATAAAAAAACTTCCAACAGAGGATGGAAGTGCTCCACGTCACAGCTCAAGACTGCCAGCTCGACAATAACTCCATTCTAGAATTTCCGACGTGGCAGTCTCTCGACAAGGGCGTTCTACCGAACATGGGTTTAGCCTATTCAGTTTTCCGACGTAACGGAGGTTTTGGTGGCTCTAAATTGCGCGTTGGATCTCTCATTTTGTGAAAACGCAATTTGCCTTCTGTTTCTCTTTTCACGGTCTTGCATTCGGTGGACAGGTCTTCTTTTTTTATTTTTTTTATTTTTATTTTTTCTTCTTCTTCTTCTTCTTGCTGTGTGCATATTGCAAGAGCGATGCTGAAATCTCGACATTGTAGAAATTAGGGTTAGGATGGCAGTTGGGTTTAGCTTGTAAAATATACATCTCGCTTCCTTGCATCGAGAGGATTTGTTGGAGGCAATCTGAGAAGGAAGAGGAGGATTCGTAGCTATGGAGGTTTTGGGGGGATTGAGACCAAGTCTTGATGCGGATGCGTTGTTTGAAGCAGCTGTGAAAGGGAACCCAGCTGTCTTTGAGGATCTATCTGAGGAGGAGCTTAAGAAGGCGCGTCTGCTTCGTGACGAGGACGAAAGAACCCTTGTACACGTCGCTGCTGCAAGCGGGCACGTCGATGTAGTGAAGAAGATCTTGGAGGGGGTTGGTGATTCCAAGAGTTTGTTGAATGTGAGTGATGAGGAGGGGTGGACGCCCCTCCATTCCGCTGTGAGCGTTGGACGCATCGCAGTAGTGGAGGTTCTTCTCGTTTTCGGCGCTGATGTGGGAGCAGTCAACGAGGGTGGCAGGACGGCTTTGCATTATGCCGCTAGTAAGGGCCATGTAGAGATCGCCAACATGTTAATCAGGTTTGGCGCGAAGGTGAACAAGAAGGATAGCGTAGGATGCACGCCGTTGCATCGGGCTGCTAGCGCCGGACATGTGGAGATGTGTGAGGCGCTGCTGGAGGCAGGAGCAGATATTGAAGCCACCGATCGGATGTTGCAGACTCCGCTGATGCATTCTGTGATTTGCGATAACCGCCGTGTGGCGTTTCTGCTCATACGTAATGAAGCTGATGTTGATGCTGAAGACAAGGAGGGTTATACCGTGCTTGGTCGGGCAAGCGAGGAGTTACGTCCCCTTCTCATCGATGCCGCAAAAGCTATGATGGAAGATTCTTGATGCTCATCTTATTGTTTTTGAAGTTACACCTAACTTGGCTCAATTATAGAGCATCCACACTTCAGGGACCTGCGTAAATTGCATTGCATAAGATTGTGATCATAAGATTATAGACTGAATGAGAGCATAATTTTGATGCTCGGTTCAAGTACCTTTTCATTACCCTTTCAATGCATTATGATTACTGTTTGATGGAAAATGTAACTCATTGCCGAAATGGCAGTGAATGTGTGGAGTCTTGTGTAGAGATGGAACTGTTGTCAAATGATTATATTATTTTTTCCCAGCCGGTAGACCCTGCTGTGGCGAGGAATTGGAGTTCTCAATTTCTGCAAAGACAACCTACGCTTATTACTTCAGGGTTGTTCAATTCAAAGTATAATTCAACACAAGCGAGATATGTGCGTACATCCTCAGGGAATCAGTTTCTTGTGATTACACTGCCGACTGCAGTTTCGAGGTATTCTTTCAGTAAAAGTCCTACGTAAAGCCAGGTAGTTACTGAGGCTTCAGCTTGCATGACCTTACATTTCCACCACGTGTGGCTCAAAGCATGGGTCAGATCACAGCATCACATCCCACCTCTAATGTGGCGAGAAAGGGATATGACGCACGTAGAAATCTAATGAGTGAATATGGTTAAATCATCAGCTCCAGTTTCTATTACAGGACTGCAAAGAATGGCAGTAGTAAGAACCTCATAGCACTTCATATCTACAAAACCCACCAAAAATGTTTTGAGCCCAAGTGAATCTTGTACACCCTTGGATCGAGGTTGAGAGAGATGTCCAACAGGCCTACAATAACTCTTTGGGAGACGCAGATAGTGTTCATACTAAGTGCAGATTTGCTGCTTGGCTCAATTGCGTTCTGCAATTACCTTTAAAATATTTCGTGTAGTCACAAGAGGTGGACGACAATTCCCATCATCTAATATCGGCGTCTTATATTACGGTGTTCCAATTGCACTAGGAGCTCGAGGCTTGGTAGACTGACCTCATGCAACTGCTCTGGTAGAATTTCCCACTGCGTATTTCGTCTTCCAAGGCGCGTGCCAATGGCACCTTCCACTGTTCAGGCAGTCAGTTGACACTGCTTCTAGCAATGTATCCCTGCAACTCTCGTCGTCACTAACACAAATGCTGGGAAGTCTTGGGAAGGTTGGGAAAGTTTGCTTCCAGGTGGAATATATGACTTTGGAACTCTTAACACGATGTCAGTTGCTGTGATGTTAGGGGCTGTACAAATGGATCCCAGTATGCAGGACTATCTGAGAAAGACGGTCCTTGAGAGTCTGCCCCAGACATAACTACACCTTCATCTAATTGCCCAAGTCTGTCAGAGGATCCATAGCTGGGAGGGAAGTTGCTCATCTCGTAGTGAAGACGAGGACTGAAAATATCACTGGTAGTCTCATCGTGCAGGCTGCGGTTCATATGAAGACCTTGAATATATTGAGAATGGTCTCCAAATTCAAGCCCTGGTTCATATTTTGTGTCAGTCTCTGCAGCTACTGCAAGTGAGCTGGAGCGTTCACGCATGCTTTTAAATATAGAAGAGCTCAAGAGTAGACTCAGCGCTGAAGGGGTGGTGACTTTCTTGTGAGAGTTAGAATGCAATACGCCCAGTGAAGGGAGTTGATATGGTTCGCTCAATTGACCAGGCCATGCTTGATGTCTTTGCTGTTCTTCTGGTTGAGAACCCTCATCCCGCTGAGAAGGGCCATCGTCCCATGACGTTGGACTCGCACCTCCTTCTTCCTCTTCTTTCATACGCGAGAGAGTGTCTGCAGAGACGGTGGTATCTGCTCCTGGCTGGTAACTTGTGGTGGCTGTCTGTGCCCGCTCTGGACGCAACCACGTGATATATCTGTGAAAAGATAGTGTTATGAATTCTAGTGAGTAAGTAAGAGCAGATGGAAGTGAAGTTGTAGAGGGATACATGACATCAATGATGTGTTAGTCTTGCGAGAATATGTGATGTTGGGAACAACGTCTGGAGAGTTGGTAATTACCTGCTTAGATCGAGATTTGAGCCGGAATTGAGGCTTCTGTACTCCAGAGCTTGAAAGTCGTAAGCAGCAGCTTCCTCCTGCGACATATTACTGCCAGGATTTCCCCAGTGCAGATACTTGTTACCAAGAACTTGGCCAAGGCGGGCTTCCCATCTTCCCATCGAAGGGTGTCGTGTAACCCCTTTGAACTTGGACGAGCCTCGCGAGAATCCACTACCTTTTCTTCTCAAAGACGCCAAGTACTCTTCTCTCGACACCGACTGCATTTCCTCTACATCCCTAGCGTAGTCTGTGACGGGGAAATTGATCAAAGTCCCTGGTCCCCAATATTTGAGAGCGGCTAGATCATATGCTCTAGCGGCTGCTTCCTCATCGTCGTAAGCTCCCAAGTACACTTGCTTCCCTTTCTTGTTCTGAGCCTCATTCCAGGTACTCTTATCCCACAAGTGAGCCTCGTATCGGCCCGTCCAACGATGCCTGGTCACGCCTCTGTAGATTGAGCTTCTCTTCCCCGGGACACAAGCGGGCATTTTGCTGATCCTCTCCTTGGCGGACGACCCTCGGTCACGGCGATAGCGCTTGATCCCCCTGTGCTCCTGCACTGGCGATCCCTTGGGTGATTCCACCATGCCAGATCGCTGCGGCACTGCCTCCTCGTTCCCTGTCTCGCTTGGTTGATTCGGCTTCAGCTCCGTGGGCTCCATAGCCCACCGCGAATTGATCTCCTCAACTACCGTCTTGCCAGTGCTTGTGTAAAACTTCGTCAAGCGACTACTTTACACCACCACCTAAGACACTAGGCAATCCCTGAAATTGAATTATGAGTCCAATCCATCCATCAAGAGAACCCACACCGCCTGTGCTAGTGTAGACGATCGCAATCCGACACAGCTTCCACAATCATCAGGACAGAACCTCGTCCTAGCTACGATTCGAACGGTCACGTCTGGTTGTAATCACAATCCCCGTCTTAGTAAGCCATTATGCTCCTCCGGCTCGTGGACTTGCTCCTCAACTAGAATAGCATCAGAAATTAGAAACGGCAAGTATTACTGCATTTCACAACGTAGAGACAACAAGATTGAAACCGTGAGAGGGTGAAGGAGAAGTGGCTTGGAGCTGTTACAGTGGAATAGAGTCTGAGTGATCGGAACCAGAAGAACGTTCAGCTGAAAGTGGGAGTGAAATTCGCGACCGTTGGCAACGGACACGTTCTCCTAATCTAGCCTATAATTTTTGTTATATTTATTGATTAATTTCTTCATCCAGGCTGTACATGGACGTTAGAATTAGGTGCTTTCATCCATGTATTATGTCAACTTTCACGAGGGGATTCGTGAAAGTGGGACCCATCCGAATTGTGGGTTGAATGAACGCTGGCTCGGGGAAACCCTTGCAAACCCCTAAATGTTGCTTCCACTCTGTCTGGAATGCCCTCTCTCCTCGGCCCAGACGCTCGAATCCCGTTTTCAGCCCTAAGCTCTGTTACGTTAGTTGCCGCCGAACAGCGCGATGGTGGGTAGTTTCTCCCACCTGTGCTACACGTAAAAATTTCAGTTTTTCGGTTCCGTTCTGTTTGGAGTGTTTTTTGCTCGACTTTAGGGTGTGCAGGTTCATGATCTAAATTGGTTCAGAATGGTGGGTGTGACTAGTCGCTCATCGCGGGTGAAGAGTTTCAACATATTCTTCGTGTGCTGAATACAAACGTCGATGGACGGCAGAAGATCATGTTCGCCCTGACCTCCATTAAAGGAGTTGGGCGTCGTTTTGCCAACTTGGTGTGCAAGAAAGCTGACGTTGACATGAGCAAGAGGTATGTATGGTTAACCTGGTTTTGTGTTTGTAAATTTAAATCACAAGAAAGTTGACAAGATGGATGAGCACGCAGAGGGCCCGTAATATCCTCTTGCTTTTCCCAGTGCTTTTTACTTTGCAAGTTCAGAATTCCGAGACTTTTTTAAGGAATAATGTAGTCCTTCTGCGACAAAAAGCCATCCGTGTGCACCGACGACACAATTCGCAAACCTTGCTCATTAAGTTTGGTGGAATCGAATTCAGGGCTGGTGAGCTCTCCGCTGCTGAACTCGAGAATTTGATGGTTATTGTTGCCAACCCTCGCCAGTTCAAGGTCCCAGATTGGTTCTTGAATAGGAAGAAAGATCACAAGGATGGTCGCTACTCCCAGGTTGTTTCGAACGCCTTGGACATGAAGCTGAGGGATGACCTCGAGCGCCTAAAGAAGATCAGGTTCGCATATTCTTGTCTCCTAGCATTTCATTATGATGCTCAAACACTAGACTCTCATTTTCCAAAATGCATGTCAGCCTTTCAATTCTGAATTCAATTTTCTGCGAATTGCGAGTTTCATGTATCGAATGCTACATTGTGACCTGTACTTGAATTTGCGTATTATTCTGAGACAGTTCCTCAATTGTTAGTGATCACATGTTTTTAGTTTGCCATTCTTGGGCGGTGTTTTATTGACTCTTTCTGAAACATTTAATTTGTTGCAGGAACCACCGTGGACTTCGACACTACTGGGGCTTGCGCGTGCGTGGACAGCATACCAAGACTACAGGGCGACGTGGAAGAACCGTCGGTGTGTCCAAGAAGCGATAGAGAGTTTATTTTGTGTTGATGTTTAGTGTTTTACTGGCCCTTTTCAAAGTAAAATCCTCGTTCAGTATCACGCTCAAATTTCTCAGTACACACTGGTTTTGTATGATCAACTTTGTGAGAACTTAGATGTTAGGGTTTTGTGAGAAACCGCTATTTCAAAATACTCTTCTCCCCTGCATGTTTGTGCTGTACTTTGGACAGGTCTTAGTTTGTTTTGGTCATAGTCAGTGATTGTCTTTGAAGTGGAGTGCAAGCAATATAGTTTGAACTGTCTCCACGAATGCAGCAGCTCGTCAGTATTGAAATGGAAAGTTGGGTCAAGTACTGACCTGATCTAGTATGACCTTTATTCCAATCAAGTGGTTAAGGTATGCATAATGGCTGTCTGCCAGTGTCTGCTGGTCGTGATCATATGAGCAGGCAGCTGTGCCCATTACCCACTGTTGGGGAAGCGATAAAGTGTGATGTTGAATTGTTTTTTGTAGTATAGTTTTGTTCTTGTCAAGCGATGTGAAGTACTTCCTAAGGTGAATATGTTGGTGCAGTTTGACAACAGTTGAGTAGTGATGGTGAGATATGTATTATCCATGCCATACAGAGCTAGCAGCAGATTTCGATGGGGATGAGATGAACAGGAAACGAGCTGGAATTAATTTAAGGCATACTCATGGACCGCTGGGAAACGATCAGAATGCTTGGAAACTCGGAAATTTTCACTTGAAGACTACCTTAAGGAGTGTAAATATTGTTTGGCCTCTTCCTACATAGTGTGTTTCGCTTTAATATAAAATCTTTCCTAGTTTTAATGGGTACTCATGTATGAAGTGTGCATATGTAAAAGTAGAATGATAAGAATCATTCGACATGTGAAAGACGACTCGAAGAATGTTTTTATCAAAACAGTGTAGGACATGTTCCATGAACTTTGTATATGTTCTACAATGTTTTGAAAAAAGCCCTTCTAAATCATAACTATACCACGCTTCTCTCAGTTGACAAATTTCTCTCCATGGACTAAATATTAGTTAGAGTATTTACAATATGTAGATGAGGAAATTATGTCATTCTAATTACTTCAAGTCAAATTGCTTTTGGAGATTGTATACACTAGAAAGTCATACTTTTTCTTTTGAAATTATTGCAAAGAGTTGAGATGGTATAATTCATTTCGTTGCTTTTTGTACAGGAAAAATCCCAACATTGAAGGTGAAGGATTACAAATATTAGATCAGAAAATAAGAAAACTTAACTGTTGTGGTTTAATTTTTAAAACAAAATAATCATTTAAAAATCTTTTTTTCTTACAATTTATGTCAACAATTTGTGATTAGAGTTTTAATAACTTCACAGTAATACATGTCTTAAAGTCTTTGCTAAGTCTATTGCAATATGTATTAGGCAAAATTTATAATTAACATTACATATTATCTTGGAAAACTTCAAAGTTTTTTGTATGCTTTGTCTAGAGGTTCCTATCTTATACCAAAAGAAGACATATACCATTAGCAACAAATTGTTAGTTTGACACCAAAGTAATTATATCTCTAAGCCATAAAATTTATAGTCTTCATTGTCTCAATATTTAATGCAAAAATTTGTTTAAATATTTCAAGAGACTATTTTGAACTTAGGTCTTTTGATATTGGTAGAATCCCAAAAATAAATACAACCCAATTCTATCTTAAATATGGCATGATGTCTCGATATTAAAAAAAATTGAGAATAAACTAATTTAAGAACTTATACCAAAAGATTATTGATATAAGTTAATCTTTTGATTATTGATATAAAGTGTTTAAAGTTGGTAATAAGGTGTGATTATTTTGTACTAAGATCAAGACCAAATAATTTTGTAACAAATAAGATATTGAAAGTTTAAACTATTTTCTTTTTTATAAAATATTATTCCAATTATATAATGGTTTTGTTAACCATATTCAATAAGAATTTATAAAATTTTTAATATTTCATTCAATGTATCTTATAAACAAATCAACATATTTAATAGAAAATAATTACTACCACCTTAAATTAAAATATATAATAGCAAAAATATTAAGATAGACAAAGTCTTGGTTTTTGGTCTAAAAGAATTACAATGTTTTTAAAAAGTATGTTTTTATTAAGATAGACAAAGTCTTGGTTTTAAAGTAGTGACAAATATATATATATATATATATATATATATATATATTGTACTTTGAATTATATATGATATTAATGAGTGCATGTAAAAGCCATCTAAAAGAATTACAATGTTTTTAAAAAGTATGTTTTTATTAAGATAGACAAAGTCTTGGTTTTAAAGTAGTGACAAATATATATATATATATATATATATATATATTGTACTTTGAATTATATATGATATTAATGAGTGCATGTAAAAGCCATCTAAAAGAATTACAATGTTTTTAAAAAGTATACATCTATGAGTATAAAATTCACACTTCAACCCAATTATGAGATGGTCTCAATTAAAAGTTGCTTGTAATTGGTGGTGTGAAGTGGAATTAGCAAGAACAAAAAAAGCAAAATACAAAAACAAGTGAAACAAGTACAATCAAGCAATCATACACTACAAAACTAGTCATAGTCTATTCATTGAATTTTCATCCATTAAAAAGTAAAAAATAAAAGTAAAAAATATTTTTAAAATTTTAATCTTTTAATCTTTCCAATGGTATAAGAAACATGTTAACTTGAATTATTATGAGTAAGTTATGAAGATTTAAAATAAAAAGTAAATAAATAAAAAACTAAATAAATAATTTTTACCTTAAGAGTAACTTGCTTAAGAGATCAAGAGTTTGAGCCTCACTATGGTTCACAAGTAGTGTTTATGGGTGCCAATAAAGGCCACGAGACCTTAGTGTTATCCTCTTAACTACCTACAAAGTACTACAACCCATATGGGACTTGTGTACCTCCTTTCTTTTAAAGACTACATTAGCTACTGGTCCTCCTATTTTTTACTAGTAAAACCAATAATTTTTTATTTTTGACTCTACCATAATGTATAAAAACACCCAATTAGCTTGAAAACCTATTGTGGCTTTTAAATCTTACTCCGTTTCTTCATAATGGCTTCCGAAGTGGTAAAACTCATTTTTATCAAAGTCTTGAAAATTACTCTAAAAAATACTAAATAAATTCTAAATAAATTCTAATAAATTCTATAATTTTTTAGAATATTAAAATACATTTCAAGCTATACTTTCCTGCCTTGATAATTTTCATAGTAATAAAATAAATTTAAATCTATTATAAATCCTACTTTCCATATAACTAACTAAAAAGACATGAGGTTCTTTTTCATGCTTCTTTTAACTACTACTAACATTTATATTTTTTTATAAATAATATGTATAGATAGAAGGCCAATATGAATATCTATTTTAGTAAATAATCCTCAATATTCAATAATAAATAAAAAATACTAAACCAACTAAGATAATTGCCTCCAAGACTTATTAAGATTCCAATTCTACAACTAACATTCTAATTTTCTATTTGTCTAAAGATTTTAATACTATTCACTATATATTGTGGTTCTAAGTACTCTAAATGCATCTTATTATTCTAAAACAACTAGTGAGTTGATTTGATGACTTACAACATTTATGTATATATGGACAACAACTCTTTAAAGTAAGAATCAAGTATAGAAAAAAATAAAAAGATAATATAAAGTAGTAGGAAATAAGTTTTTCTTATATACATTAATAAATTTATTATAGAATTTTTTATAGCATGATTAGAAACTAAAAAAATAAAAATAAAAATAAAAATTCTACATAATTCATTTAAGTTGTCACAACCTTCATGACATTAAAACCATGATCAAGATATTATTTTTAAATACATTATTTTTAAATAGATAGTGATATATTATATTTTTCATATAATAATTTCTAAAAATAATTCTCAATACTTGGTTATATTATTGGAAGCAAAAAATACGTCTCTTAAAATTTTACCTATATAATGTAAAGATAATTATGAATTTAGAATTGTGCATCAATAAATATAAATTTTATTAAAATATGAAATATAATTAATAATTCAAAAGACCTATTAATCATCTTAATATAGAATATAGATAAGAATATATGACAAATATATATATATATATATATATATATATATATATATTTAAAAATTTTAAACTTTATGCACTTTAAAAATAACCTCTTGGAAAATGATAAAAATAAAATTAGGAGAAAAATATGAAAATAAATTACATTAGTAAAAAGACCTTTAAATTGGGATCTGATTTTCAATTTGAAGTAAATTTATTCATAAATAGTACACCTACACTAATTTAGAAACATTACATAACTTTAAAACTTACTTTGTAAATATGAAAGTCTTTAGATAGCATCTACACAGATTTTTTGTTGGCTAATTTTTCTCAGATTATAAAATATTTTTTATTCTTTGTGAAAATTCATATCTTTAAATTTTCTTAAGTTATCAATCAGACATGATTTATTGATCTGATATTAATTTTTTTCATTAAATACCATTCGTGCTCTATAAGAATAAAATAAATAAAAAAATGATATAATGTAATTACAAAATGAATAATGTAATTACAAAATTAAACCAAAGAATTGTCTTTCTCTATTTGGCTTGTTATTTTAATTTTTTTTAAACCACTCTTAATTATTTTAATTTATCTGTGAATTAATTTTGTATTGAATTTTTTTTAGTTTAAAATTTATTAATAATATTATATAAAAAAAATTATTTTTATTCCAATTTTTTTCTTATTTTTGAAATAAATAGTTCTTAGAAGCAATATGCTAAATAAAATCATTTATTGTTGTCACCATATTATAAAACTATCAGAATAAGTAAAGCATCTAGCTTTGTAAGTCTTGATATTGATTTTTGTGTAAAATTAATCAACAACCCTTTTATTCAATCCAATTATACTAAACAAAAGAACATAAAAACAAAAAAATACTAAAATTTTTCTTTCTTAATAGTTTTATTTTTTTGAATGATATTTATTAAAAAAATATTCAAAAATTTAGAAACCTCAAAAATTATTATATGCTATAATTCTATAATATTGTCTTTTCTAAAGTATTATATTACTACATAGTTCTTTATAATAAAAATAAGAACTTTCTATAGAAAAGTAAAATAACTAATACTATATCTGTATATATATATATATATATCTTAATCAATTATGAACTAGTTCATTTGTTATCAGATTTAACTCTTTTGAGTAAAGATGTCATCTTATCTATTATCTACCAAATTGGTGTTTAAAGCTATTAAGCTTGACCAATCTAATTTTTTATCTTACTTAATTTTCAAATAAAATAAACCAAAACAATC